AAAATATTAGCAAGAAAAGAAAGTTGAAAACAAAGAACCAGACAAAAAACAAAGATAAAAATGTAAAGAAAAGAATGGAAAAAAATAAAGAAATAAAGGAAAAGAATGGCTTCCAATTTTCTTCGGGACAGATATAGATAAAAAACACAACCAACTCTTACTCTGAAATTAATCATAGTCTACTTTACTTCTCTAATCCCATATAATTCTATTCATCAAATCCCAGAATCAAAATTTCATTTCTCTCAGGATCTCACAAAAAGTCCAAAAATGGATTCTATGTAGAAATAAAATAAAATAAAATAAACCTCTTTAATCAAAGCCGTCAATTTTGCCAACTCAGCCAAATGGCATGATCTCACAATGCTCCATGTTTTCTGCTACTCCTGAAGCAAAATGGAGGCATGGAGAAACACCAAACGCAACAAGATCATATCACAGGTCTCTTTTCATTCAGAAGGGAAGGAAACGGTATAGGAAAAGCAAGTATCTTTGTGTCTCTTGACTGTTGCTTCCCATCATGCATGACCATTCTTCATCACTGTCAAGGTAACAAAAAAGCCCTTGTTTTGTGTAATTTTTCTTGCTCTTATTTTGATCCCTGCTACTGTCTTGTGATGTCATTCTTAAGCTGAGAAAGAGAAATCTGACTGAGAGCCAGCTAGTTTTCTCCATGGTTGAGCATGAAAGCACGCAACTCTGATCCATCCGTGACCTTGTACCTGGAAAATTGCACTCACCTGAAACCATTTGCCCTGGAGGAAGATACTCCTAGCTGCAGTTCCCAAGACTCAGAACAAAGAGGGATGCCAACCAGCAACTCTGTCTTGAGCTTAGCCTGATTGAAAACTGGCTGGGTTCCAAGCTTGTGAGATGCACAAGGAGCATTGCTACTTCTACCACTTAACAACATGGCAAACCACAGCCCCGGCTCTTCCAAGTTTATCAATCAAACTAGATATAAGTTTGGTTGAACAGGGGTCTTTTAAATAGTCTGGTTGTTGGAGGTGGAACTTATCTGGGACTCCTGATGAATATTCAAAGATAGAATCACAGAGTTGGAAGAGACTCTAGAGGTCATCAACCCAGTCCCTTGCTCTATTCTGCACTCTTTCTAGACCCTCAACATCTTTTTATAACATGTTAACCAAAACTGGATGCATCATTCGAAGAAAGTAATACATTTAAAAGATGTTTTCCCTTTCTCAAATTGAAAACAAGGCACAAAATATAGTGCAATGTGTCTAAATGGCACAGGCTGGATAATTTTGGTTTAAAATGTATTGTCCTTTTCAGACAATGGGCTGGATTCAAAGTTTGTCAAAGTTGTGCCACTAAAACCAGTGAGATCTGTTGGATTCAGCCCTGTTGATGTCAATGTGACAAATCTATTTCAAGGGCTATCCTAAATACAGTCAAGTCAGCTTCCAACCCCTGACTTTAGAAAGCAAACAGCAGATATGAAGGTGCTCAGCAGTGCTGAAGCACAGTGGAGCTTCTATAACAAGAAACTAACTATAAAATACCTCCAAAGAGCTATGTCTTTCATGCAAAAAAAAAGACAAATAGGCAGCTTTGGTAATTGGCTTGGTAGTTTCCTAGAGACCTTTGTGTGGCATGGGTGTAGGTCACAAAGGTAGAGGAGCAGGTGACCTTGGATAGGTGGAGAAGGGAGTTGAGTCACCTCTTTGGAAAATCTCCTGGCTTTGTGACTTCATCCTTGCAGGCTAAAGTGTCAGTTACTGTCAGTTATCAGTTACCACAGCAAAGATGCCTTGCTGGAGGTAAGCTGCTTTCCCGTGGGGCTCCTGGATTCCCTCTTTTTATAGCCAACTGTTAGAGGGATAAGTGAGAGTTTGAGTTTGGGTTAGGGTTAGGATGGGGGTGAGATGATTAGAGTAAGAGTGAGGATGAAAGGGTGAGGGTTGGGGACAGGCTGAGAGGGAGGGTGAGGTTGAGAGGGTTAGGACAAGGGGGAGGGGACAGGAAGGGGGAGGGGCATGGGGAATGGGGAATGGGAGGAAGACTGTCTACTATTGACCTCACCCCTTTCCTAAGAGGTCTGTAGGGGGCGTGCATAAGCGCACCAACGTGCCTACCGTCCCTGTCCTATTGTTTCATTTTTAATTTTTCTTATATGTATCCATTTCATGTATCCATAGCTATGTTTATACTTATACCTGTTGTCTTATAATTGCTCGACAAAATAAATAAATAGATAGATAGATAGATAGATAGATAGATAGATAGATAGATAGATA